GGGGAAGGCTAACTCTTTCCTCGGTCGTCGGTGCTGGCATATAACTTTGTTTCCCTTTATTACCCACTCGTCCTTAGGTTCCTCAACTTTGGCGCTCGGCGGAGGTGGTACATTGATCTTCAGTTTCTTCGCTTGACTTTCTGATTCTTGTTCACGATTTTCTGGTGCACGACTTTTACTCTCAAGCCTTAACTGTGCAGACGCTAGCCTTGCCTGGATGCTCGGGCTCTCTTGTTTCTTTCACCATTCAATAACTCGAGCCCTGCGATCAGCGTTGTGCGGTTTGTGTTCTTTGTCTCCTCTCACGAGGCATTTACATCCGTAACACCCTGGTGTCGGTCCCATGTTCAAGCATTCGTGTTTTTTAACTGCAATCCCTCGTGCAATGAGCGGCTTCGTCTCAGGCGCAGTTAATTCTTGCTCTGGTAAATCCATGGGTACCATGATCCTAGACTGTAATTCCATTCCCGCTGTGCTCGGGTCAGGCTGCCAAGGTAACCCCTTTATTTCGGTGATCTCGGCAATATTCCATCTTTCCGCATCACTTCCTTTTCTTTTAAACTCGTGCGCCTTGATTGCACCATTGGGCGTCCCAATAATTAGCTCTTGACTTTTCTCGTTTATGCCTAGAAACACTCCACTTTCCCATCTCATTTCGAGCTTCTCGCGGCCTTTGTGCGCAGGTGTCTTCAAATACATGACACACTCACCAAACTCAGGAATTTGCTTGTTAAATTTTCGTCCCCTGCACCTCTCATGGGCCGTCTTCCCATCCGTGTCCATTGTGAACTTGTTAATCGAAGAGGACGCGTAGCTCACCAGCCAAGGTATTATCTGATGGCTTTCACCAAACTCAGTCTTATAATTGGCATCTAAGGCGCTCTTTAACGTTCTGACCTGACCCTGCACTGTCCTAACGGCTCTCTCAATTTCGCCGTTGGCCTTTTCACGCAAACTCAGGGCTAACTTCAACTCCCATGTCAAGATCACACGAAGCTTTAATCCTATTGGCCAAGTGCTCGTGATTGCCGCTTCCCCATCACTTTTGAGTATCACCTTCTTGTATCCGGTAAAACTTATCATGCCACATCCTACTTTTACCGAGTACGAGTCCACTCCCTTTCTCATCAACACTCTGCTCCAAGTTAATTTGGTCTCTCTGCAATGCATGGCCAAAATTGGATTGCCATTGCTGGTGCTTTCACCTTCATCCTTTCTTCCTTTAAGCCACATGTAATCCATTGAAATCACTGGCACGTTTCCGTTCCCCTCTCTTTTGCGTCTACGGTGATTGCGTCTGCGCGCTTTCCCTCTAACGCAATGTGGGCACCAGCTTCGGCAAGGCAAATGCGTCGTGTTATGCGCTTCAACTTCCTCCTTTGAGGGCCTCATGTCACAGTAAACTTTCTTTGGTAACTCCGCTTCATCACCCACAAATACATCTTCCACATCACTTAACTCACTATCGTTGCCCCCACTTTCACTCCCTTCGTCTCCTTCGGTATTAAAGACGTTTAAGTTTTCGCTTGGTCTTACGGGTGATGGGGGGCTTAGTAGAACAGATCCGCCTCCAGGGTTCCCGGCCGCGGAAAACCCTCAGTTACGTTCACTTCGCTCCTGGGATTGACGGCCTCCGCTGGTCCCTTCGGTACTGTGATGTTGAACTGGAATGTGCCATTCTTCTCATGAGTAGTTGTGAACTTACCGGTCGCCTTGTTCATGATGTGGCTCAGGGATCTCCCGTTAGAATCCTTGTCGAACACCACTCTATTTCCAGCGTTTACCATCTCTCTGACAGATCCTAGGACTTTGTTGACCTCTGCTACCTGAATCGGCATACTGACGGCGTTCCCATGCTCGTTTTTACCTGTGATCACTCGTTGACCATAATGCTTTATCGTGGTTCCATTTGCTGCACTGTAGTGTCGTCCCTGCTTTGACGCGTCCGCATGCTTAATAAGGAAATGAGTGCCAACTTTGGGGGGTCCCACTGTGTTGTATGCGCCGGAGTCCACGGTAACCACGATCGTCTCATGCGTTGCACTTGGTGGCGGCACCGCGTTAATCTCTGGATCACAGCCCCGCATCTCAATTAGCCCAATTTCCTTGCACTTCTCCAGCCAACTTTTTTCCTGCCTCACGCTTTTACTTATTCTCTGGTCCCATTGACTAGTATGATTACAGTCCCCGTTACACTGGTGTTCCTGATAAATTCTTTTCAAATTCACCGCGTTGCTACGTGCCGTTTTCTTTCTGGCGTAATAGGGCAGGTCCCATTTCTCGTTAACCTCCTCGATTGCAGGCTGGTCTAGCGGCACGTTCATTGCTTCCTTCATCTCAACGCTGAGAACATGCTGTGGTTGGCCGAACGAGGTGGTTTGTTCAATCTCAGTGTTCACTGCAGGTTTCTCTTGCTCAACTTCGTTGGCGGTCTTCTTGGGGCCCGGACAGTTAATGGCGATATGCCCTTTTCCGCCACACTTGTAACACTCACGCTCGCTGTGCGGGGTGAACTTCCCTTGGCCTCCGTAGCTTCCTCCCCACGAGCTGCTTCCTTTACCTCCCTGTTTGCCTCCGATCTTACCTTTCACATAGGATCCGTAAGTGGCTCGGTAACCTTTGCCTTTTCCGCCCTTGCCACCTTTACCTCCTTTGGTGAACTGTTTAGGTCTTGTGCAGTTTCTGGCTAAATGGCCCATGCCTCCACAATTGTAACACCTGGGGCCCGCTCCTTTACCTTTGCCTTTGTTTACGGCGTCAATTTCTTCATATTCTCCACCGTCACTCTCATTGGCCCAGGACCCGTAATTCCACGATCCATCTTCTGACCACCAGTTTCCATCTTCGTCAACCCATCCTGTTTGGTCCCAAACATTTTCGGACCCTTGACTCATCTCGTTGATATTCCCAATGTCCATTGCATCCTTATTTTTCGTATCTGAGTCAAGCTTCTTTTTACGCGCCCAGTCTTCGCACTTTGAGTACAATTTCTGAAATGAGTCAATGTTAAGCGCGTCAGGCGTTCGCCAACACGCCTGCTGCCATTCGTCGAACCAGTCATTCGCGTGCACCATTATGGCCCTGAGCGCAGTGACTTTAAAAGGAAGAGGCAGCGAGTAATCTTTACCATATTTCTCAAGATTTTCTGCCAATGCGCTCCATTCCTCAAGTCGGGTAACAGTGTCAGTGATTTTCTTGGGCGGCTCAGGATTCATGGCATGCGTCATTTTTGATGATGAGGTCGCTCCGGTTACCGCCGAGTACCATTCGTAAACCTTTTGCCAAGCCATGATTCCATCTCCATCCATCAGTCCCTTTAATTTACCTCTGGCCTCCGCACCTTCAAGTTTCTCGTTCAGAATGTACCATAAGTCTTCCTCCATCTGAGTTTTGTCTCCCTCGGTGAACTCATATTCGCCTTTGTTGTCGTCCTCGGCTTGTTTGGCCTGATTCGCCTTCAGGTACTCACTTGCAGTTAATCGGCCGTTCATTATGCGTATGATGTCGTCATCGTCCTCCTCTGGTACGACTCCGTCAAGCGTCTCCAGCTTCTTGTTTAGCATTTTCAGTGCCGGTCGGTAACTCGGCTTCACTTGGGCTAGTGCGTTCAAGAACTTGTCGTTCCAGTCTCTGAACTTTGCTCTTTCCCCACTGAAGTTCTTTAGCGCCTGTAATGCTTTATATTCGCTTATCGGTTTACTGCTCCCGTGCTTGCTTCCGCTTCCTCCTTTAATCGCTTCCGAGATCTGACCAAACCTTTCGATCAACTTTTCTTGTACTTCACTGTTGGTCTCCAACTCAGTGACTCTTTCCACCAATCTGCGAGCATCCCTTTCGAGTGCAGCGTTTCTCTTTGTGATCGCTAACAGCATGCTGTTGGTCTTGTGGGCACTCTGTAACATTTGGAACGCTTCGGCATTCGATACCTCCCTTCGATCCTGTGTTACTCGCTCGTTAATGAACGTTGCGAGTCCGAAATGGTTCGCGAATAGCGCCGTCTGAACGTAACTGAAGTCTCCGCTCATATATGCTTGTTCGCACAGATCGTTGAAGCGATTCGGGTCCATGTTGACCCATGCATCTCTGTCTGCCGGCACATTGAGATTAACTGGCGGGTCGCCCTGCCCAGGTCTGGCCGCAGCTGCCGCTGCCGCTGCCATGGCAACCGCGCTCCGCTACCATGCAAAACCCCGAGGAGGGTTCTACACGGGAGCCTGGCAACAATGATAACGATAGGTCACCTTTATACTCCCGAACGGCAAAGCAGGTCTAAGTAGCTTCGGCCGTTAAACACTTGAGCCAAAGGCAGCAGGGTTACTATTCCTCCCCTGTCACGCGCACGCTTGCATGTTAACACTTCCTCCTCCTCCTCCTCCTCCTCCTCCTCCTGGCTCTCGGGGTCCGAGTCAGATGGGCCCCGAGAACATCGGACAAGCGGGAAGGATCAAGCCAAGTCCGCTCAGGATCGGCGCTCACGGGGTCTATCCAGTGCGAATCGTCGCCCCATATACATCCGTGCTTGAGGGCCCGGGGGCCCGAGAACGCGGCCCCTGGAGGCCGAACCCAGACCCTCAGACCTCGCCCCCACAACCCCCAGCCATCTTTAGGTCGGGCGTGTCCCCCCACAGGCGATTTGTGGACGCAGAATTGAACACATAGTAATGAAATGCCCCCAAGTGCGGAAAAATTATATAAAAAATCACTACAGACTATTTTTTGACTATTTCGGAGCATTCCTCCTGTAGAGGGACAGGCCCGATTGAAAGCCAGCTCCAACTTTTCTGCAGTGGAGGCCCGACCACAAGAAGCCCTCCATAGCCATAGCACTCTCTGCATAGCAAAGCCATCGAAACCCAGGAAACCCGGTGCACCCTGGAGGCAAGCAGGGTCTCTTGGCATGGGTCTCCACTGCATCTGTCCGATCCTGCCTCATCCTGCCTCCCTTCTGCCTTTTTCTGGCGGTCCCGCCCAGCCAACTGCGCGAGCGGCAGGGGGCGGGCTCAGAAGGCCATCTGGGACCGCAGGTAGTGCTCCCACCAGACCTGGCCAACCCCCAGCTTACCCCGCACGAGATTGACAGACCCAAAGCAATGGCAATCTTAAAACTGGAGGAGCCTCGAAACTGCATAATAATAACTTTCAAGGCCCCCGCTGATTTCTTGGATCGGCGCTGAATCCTTCTCCCGGGCGCGCGGAGCGCGCCAAGCACTCTTGGAGGCGCCGCCAGGGGTGTCCAGTCCAAATCCTAAACATCCGCACGGAGCACTGAACACTCATGTTTATGCCGTTTTTCCCCCTCGAAAAACTGCGCCCTCACAAACATAGGGGGATCCTTGTGATCGGCACCGAGATGCGGTGATGCAATCCTACTCCTGATGGGCTGATCGTCCGGGAGGGGTGGCTAACCCTGCGACGGAGCTTCCCCGTCCCCCCCCTCGCTCCCCAACGCGAGCCCATCCCCCCACGCCCCCTCCGACAGCACGCGCTCACACACCCCAAACCCAAGAAGGGGGGGGGCGATTATCATCCGAAGGCGGCCTGGGGGTCTGAACTGAAGGGGCCCAGAGAAAATCGGTCCAGAAGGGGGGTATTCCACTCAAAATCTGTTCCCGAACCCCTCCAGTGGCCCATATCTGATGCATTTGTTCACCTTGGAGCCTTTGTTGACGGTCCAGGGCTCGAAAACGGCCCTCGGGGGCTGAACCATGCAAAAAACTTTTGCGAGCCCAGAACCAAAGCTGGGCCACCTCAGACTCCTAGCCCGCTCCAAATGCTTATCCTACTCGGAGAAGGGATACGGATGTGCTTCAGGCTGACAAGAAGGACCTGCTCGAGGTCGCCCTTCTTCGCCTGCGCGTCCCACGGCTTCTTGGCGGCGACCAGAAGGGGCCAAGGCCAGAGGGGGGCAGCCTTTCTCAGACCGCGCATCGTTCCACCGATACCCATCCCAACTGGCACGGCTTGGGCCCCACTGGCCGACTTACCCCTTATCTTTTGGGGGTCATGTGCAGTTCCCTTCCAGTTTCGCGGGACCTATCCCCCCCTGAGGAGGTGGGCTGGTGGGGCTGATACAAGGCCCAGTGGGGAGGGGGATCGGTTAGGCGAGGGTGACGAGCGAGGCCAGAGCGAAGATAACATCGGACCGACACACATCGGAAACTTCGGCGTGCTGGCGGGCCTGGAGAGTGCATCGCATGTATCGTGCGCCACAGCCGTTCCAGAGCGCCCGAAGCGATCCGTCGTCCGCGGGGGGGAACCCGAGGGCCGAGGTTCAGAATTTTTGGCTGCGTCTGCTTCTCTTTCGGCCTCTGGACCAGAGGACTCCGCGGTCCTCTGGATACAGCGGAGGCCCGACCACAAGAAGCCTTCCACAAGACACCCGACCCTGAGACCCCAGGACGTCCCTTGGCTGTTCGGTGCGGGAGCGCCACGCTCTCCATAGCAAAACCAGCGAAGCCCAAGACACCCAAGGCACCCTGGAGGCAAGCAGGGTGCTTCTTGGCATGGGTCTCCGCTGTACCTTTCGGGGGGGGGCCGACAAAAGGGGTCAGAGGAGGGTCTCTGGGCGCCTCGAGGCACCTCGGGCGCTATATCGCCTGCCGAGGAGGGCGCTCGGCGCCGAGGCCGGCCAGACGTGGCCGTGCTCGGCGCCCCCTCTCCACCCTCCTGCTCGGATGCCAGGGCCTCTCGAGGATGCAGGGGAGCTTCTGCCGGGGGCGCGCAAGCATGGATTGGCGATCCACGGATTTGGCGCGCGGTCGCCAACTCCATGGGTCGGGGCGGGGGAGGTGCCCTCCCCAAAATACGGCCAGTGCCGCCTCGTTCGGCGGCGGGAATCCGCGCTTGCCCATGGAAACGGGACCCGTCGCTGGCTAATCCACGCCCCCTTGATCTATGATTGCGATCGCCTGATTCTGAGAAAAGAACGGTCCGCTTACAAGCGACACCCTCCCCCGCCGCAAACATTCTTGAGACGTCCTGGGAAATCTCTTGCTAATCAACGACGCTTCCTTGCTTCCCTGCCCCTGTCGCTCGCCGCCAAACTTCGGAGACGAACAGAAGTGGAGGATCTTGATCGGCTTGATGGCCTCCCAATACCCCGGGTTCTTGTGGGTAAACCAATACATCGTTCGGAGAGCATTATACCTGAAGGGCAGCCGGTGCTGCGATGACCACTCGTACCAAGAGGGGAAGAAAGAGTTCAGGAATCCAGTATCGCCACCATCGTGAGAACCCAACTTTGGAACTTGCGCCATCATTTCGGCAAACACATCTCGGGAAGGTTGCATCACAATCACGCCTGCGTTGAATCGATCTGGAGGAAACACGTCTGGGCAAAAGGATGGGCTCGGCCGCTCAAAAAGCTCGTCGACACTCTCCAAGACGATACAATCGGCGTCGATGTACACAAGCCTGTCGAAGTCCTCCTGCTCCCAGAGGCGCAACTTGGTGAAACCAGAATTCGCCCAGCCGGGAACGTCTGTAAGATGAGGACTAGGGATAAGAAGGAGTACACAAGCTACACGAACATAGAGTTTCGGAGGTGTGCGCGGATCTTGTGGACCAGCGCTGGACCCGCTTGCGGCGCGTCTGGCGCCGCCGCCGACGCCCTCCGCGCGCCAGGGAGCGGCGACCAGCGCGTTTCCGAGAAGTCCGCGCGCACCTCCGAAAGCCGATGTTGACCTAGTTGTTTCTCCCTCGGGGGATCGCATCAACACGCCGAAGCTTCACGATGTCCACGGCAGCCAGACGTCCCAGGACGCCGGGCGACACCTGATCGGTGTGGAGCAGCAGCAGTACCTCCGGGGTGCCGCTGGCCTTCAGCGAAGCCGCCAGGGCCTGCACGGGCATCAGGAAATCCCGGGGGGCGCCAACGACCCGCCCGCCCTAGGCTTAGGTCGGGCCTGTCCCTCTACAGGGGGATTCGGGGCGGAAAGTTAGACACAGTCCCAGACTACACCAAAACTGCTCAGACATAGTCGAAACACCGTCCCCATACGATTTCTGGCCTGCTTTCGAATCCTCCTCCCGTAGAGAGACGTGCCCGACTTCACACCACGGGGACCGAAGCACGCCGACCTCACCAGCGCCTCGCGGAGGTCCGCGCAGGCTGCCCGGGTCGGCGCGGCACCCCCCGCCTCCCCGGGCGAGCGAAGCGCGGCGGCATCGCCGCCGACCGGGCCGAAGAGGCGGGGCAGAGCGCCGACCCGAGGCATCCGAGCGTTGGGTGCTCGCTCCGGGGGCCTTCCCGGAGACACTCGCTCCACTCTCGCGTCGAAGCTGCGTCGCACGCCAGTCGATTCGGGTCGACCCCGAGTCGAAGCTGCGTCGAACGTGAGTCGAACCTGAGCCGAACTAGGAGAGCCGCGCAGATCCGTCAGGTGGGCCCAGGGAAGGTCCCCCAAACGAGTACCCGACGAGCGGACCTCCGAGAGGTCATGTCCATGCCGCGGCGCACCCGCACTGGCCAGGCCGATCCGCAACTCCACGAGCGGCGGACACGCACCTCCCCCCACACCCCGCGAGGCCTGGCCAGCCCCGAGCTTCGGCGCCCGACGTCGACGACAAACCACGACGGGGGCTCCCGACCCGAGACGAGTGCAAGAGAAAGACAGGTTCCGGGATGGAAGGAGATCGAGGAACGACGACGAGGCCGACTGCGGATGGGACGTCTCGGGCGCCGCGGCCGGTCCGGGCGCTCCAGAGCGCTCCGAGAGCGCAGTCTTCCTGGGCCCGCCTGACGGTCCCAACCCGACCGTGCCATCTCGGGCCCGGCCCCCTCCCTGCCGGAACTCTCTCGTCCCGGGTCCGCCTCGATGGCCCTGGGACCCTCGATCGTGGGGGAACGAGCGATGACATATATAGACACAACAACTCCGACGCCCGCGCGGATTTCTCGGATCGGCGTTGGGCCCCCCTCCCTGGCGCGCGGAGCGCGTCAGAGGCGGCGCTGGAGGCGCTGCCAGGGGGGCCCAGCGCCGCTCCGAGAAATCCGCGCAAAGCTCAGAATTATTGTGTTTATGCCATCGCTCGTTCCTCGGGGATCTTTTGACCCGGGTCAATCCAGACCCGGGTCAATCAGGCCTGCAAAATCCTGCAAGATCCTGCACCCAAACCCGGGTCAATGCGAAGCATCCTGCAGGATCCTGCAGGATCCTGCACCCAAGCCCGGGTCAATGCGACCCTGGCGCTGCAGGATCCTGCGAGATCCAGCGCTCTGGCTGACCCGCGTCTGCACTGACCCCCGTCTCGAGGCTCCCGAGTTCCCCTATAGGCTCGCGGGCCCCGGGTGGCGGAACCCGGAGAGAGACGCGCCGAAGCCACACCATCTCGCGAGGGTCCGGCCCTGCGAGGTCGGGTCTTCTCGGGGTCTGGACTTACCAGCCTCGAACGTATCCCTATCCCTAAGATTGACACGCCAAAAGGCGATGACAATCTTAGGGATCCGCCCTCAAAAAATAAGGGAATCCCTAAGATTGGCATCGTGATGAGGAGGTGCCCAGCATAGGGATAGGGATATGTTCCAGGCTGGTAATGGATGGCGATCCGCATGGGGTGCCCGGGCCCCGGGGGCGGCTCGGAGCGAGAGGCAGGCCGTGCCGCCCGTGGTCTGGGCAGGTGCGGGCGCGGGCGGCTGGCGCCCCCCGAAGCATCGTCGGAGGTGATCATCGACGCGAAGGCGCGGGCGCCGGACCTGTCGGGCTCCGCCCTTGGCGGCGGGCAGAAGGGGGGGGGTAGGGGGAGGGGGGAAGGCTTCTCAGAAAGAAGCTGCTTCTCAGGAGGAGCCGGCCTTACATCTAAACAGAAGGCCCGCGCCTTCTAAGAAGCAGGGGTCCTTCGAAGGAGCCTTTCCCACTCCCCCGACCCCCCTCTGCGCGTGGCAAAAGGTGCGGTGACCCTAATGGGGGGCATGAGTTCGGTCCGCTGGTGCACAGAGCTGCCGAAAACAGATGCCGCCCAGGCCCCACCTCTCTCGTCAACTATCGGGAGCTGCTGGCGGCTGGGGGGCATCTGTTTTGTATGGTTCGGTGCAAAAGCCGGTCGAACTCACACACCCCCAGGGGCCTCCCCCCTTGTGGGATCCCGAAGCTGGAGTCCCGAGTCGGTGGCTCGAAGATGGGGTCCTGGGAGGGGATGGGGTCCCAAGGATGGCGAGCGATTCAAGGGTGGATTTACGCTGTTTGGAACACCACTTCCTCAGGAACCCATCCCTCAGGGCCCCATTATTGCACCACCGACCAAACCTCCGACGACCTGTGTCCATTCCCGGCGGTTCTCCTCAACTTCGGCCTCTGGGCCCCTGGATCGTGCCCCAGAACCATCACACATGGATCTGGAACACAAATCCTGACATCCGACGTCGCAGAACAACTGCAACGGCGAAAAATCACAACCGGATCCCTAGACGCCGTTTTTCTGTGACATGTCTCGGGCCAGATCGATCAGGATGGTCCCGTGGCCCGAAACCGCGCGAAAACGCCTGGTGTGAAAAAGATGCATCGTCGGGATCTCAAGGGAGCTGCCCCCCAGGGGGGAGGGGTCGGGCCCTCTTCTGGGGCCGCGCCCTGGAAAAACCGGGTCGTCGGCTGTCAAGGGTGGCGGTCGACGTGCCGCCCGAAAGGCCAGGATGGCCCCCGCGCCACCAGACAGGACCCCCTCCTGGGCCACCCCGACTGACTGGCTGACTGGAGCCCTGTGTGTAGAAAACGCGCGGGCAAGACTGCACGTATGGCAGCCAGCAGTGAGAACAACATGCTCGAGTATACGACAGACCTGGGCTGGTAACCCCAGGCGTACAACAGGAGGGAATGGGAGGAGGGCGGAGAGGGGGGCCTACGAATGACAATTAAAGACACGCGCGTGCAATTCAAGGCGCGCACCTCCAGGCCACCCGAGCGACGAAAAGAAACGGGCCTTACGCAAGAAGACGCGGCGACCTTACGCCGAGGCTTATGCGGGCCGCCAGCATAGCACACTGGGGGAACCATAATGTAAGGATACCGCTACTCCCCAGACCTCTCCATGAGTGCGTTCTGACCAAAACTTCGAGGCGAATCCAGCCGTGGCGACGAGAGCATCCCAAGAGGCCCAAAAATGAGAAACCGAGGCAACGGTAGTGGTATCTCGTCCTCCTCCGACACCGCGTGGAGAAGAGCGCGCTCGCGGACGACCTCAAGCGGGAAGCTTACGCGCGAGTGTTGACGCAGTCGCCCCCCCCGAGGCGCCCCCTCGTCCCCGCCCGCCCGAGCGAGGTTCCTCGCGTTCGGCCTGCGGGGCCCTTTTCGTGGGCGTCCAAGAGGGGCGCGTCCAAGAATATAGAGGGCAACAAAAGCCACCCCCGTAAGAACCACCCCGACAAGCGAGGCCGTTCAGCAAACGCACCCCACGAAGGAGTCGAACAGGGCAGGGCTGCTTAGGAAACGCCCAGGGCCGTTCAGTAAACGCCAATCATTATCGGGTCTGGGTGGTTGTTCCTCCCTCGAAGGAGGGGGGGGGCGCAAATCTTGGCCGGCGGCATGTGCACGGCCCATGAGGGGCCTCGCCATCGCTCGGACGCCCATTCCCTGTGCTTTTTTCGGTTTCGTGCGTGGCTTTTTCGCAACATGATCCTCCTGGATGGTCCTTGCCGAAAGAAAACTGCACACGTCCGAGCGATGCCAAGGGGCTGGGGGGCCCCCGCTCGCAACCGTCGCTCACCAGACAGCGCGCGCCGCGCTCCGCGGTGCGCGGCCGTCTTCGCGCTCCCGGCGTGGCGACCCTCGGGTCGGGCGAAAGCGGGGGATAGCAAAGGAGGGGGTTTGAGAATCAGCTCACGTAGCTGACTTTCCCGGCGCCTCCTGGCGCCGGAGGCGGCTATGTATCGAGGGATGGGCCCCTCGGTGGGGCCGAAACCAGCTGCCTGCAGCAAATTTCGTAACCCCCCCTTTCCCAATCCCCCCCTTTCGTCCTGCACGAGACCCTGGAGAAAAGGTCCGCTCCAGGGCTGGACCTAGCGTTGTTTTTCGTTTTGTGTTCGATGTATTGTTCGTTTTGCTCCACCTTTTCCTCCTGCAACTCCCTGCCCAAAAAACGAAAAACAAGACACAGCCGAAGTCCAGCAAAACAGCGTTCAGGTCCAGCCCTGCACCGAGGATCCGCCGATCCTGGCTGCCCCTGGGGGAACACTGATCCACGATCTCTCTCCTCCCCCTCCTCCTCCTCCCCCCTCCGCCTCCTCCTCCTCTTCCTCTCCTCCTCCTCCTTCCTCCTCCTCCTCCTCTCTTCCTCCTCTTCTCCTCCCTCCTCCTCCTCCTCCTCCTTCTCCTTCCCCATCCTCCTCCTCCTCCTCTTCTCCGTCCTCCTCCTCCTCCGCCTCCTCCTCCTCCTCCTCCTCCTCCTTCTCCTTCCTCCCCCTCCCCCTCCATAGACAGGCAGACTCCAACGCGCGAGGGCGTCAAGTGGCAAACAGCTCGGGGGGTCCACGGTTTGGGGGGAGCGGGGAGCGGGCGCGCAGGGGGCGGGAGGGGAAGGGGCCGGGCGAGGGGACCTGCACACGTGTCCACTGCTCCTGCTCCTCCTCCTCCTCCTCCTCCTCCTCGTTCTTATACTAAAACAACAAATTGAATATTGCTCATGTAGAGGGACACGCCCGACTTAAGACTGCTGCTTCGGGGGCGCCGCCGAGGCGCCCCCCCCTATGATCTTCGGCGCCCCCGAGGCCCGTGGTGGGAGGTCAAGATCTGGGCCTCCAGGCCCAGATCTCAATGTCCCCTCGCGGATAGGCGATGGAAATGAATCGGATCGGCGGAGATCGGCAACCAGGTCGGGAGGAGTCGAACCGGCGGACATCAGCAGGCTGGTATGCCTCCAATGAGATATCGGAGCGCAAATCGGAACCCCAAGTCGAATCGAATCGGAATCGGGAGCCGTCGAAGTCGAATCGAATCGGAGGAATCGAGACGAGCCCTGGCTTCCCCTTGACCAAACCTGGCGCGAGACTGCGTGAGCGCCTCATGCCGCTTCCGCCGCCGCGTGTATGCCGAGAGGAGGAGGCGGGTGGCGCCTCTGACTGGCGGAGGCCTGCTAACCACTTACGCCACCGCGGACTCGCGGGTGGCGCTTCAACACGGAAGAGAGCAAGAACGAGCCTCCCGCATCATCGTGCCGAGGGCGCCTCTCCTCCTCCTCCTCCTCCTCCTCCTCCTTTCCTCCTCCTCCTCCTCCTCCTCCTCCTCCTCCTCCTCCTCCTCCTCCTCCTCCTCCTCCAGGTCCTGACCATGACGATGACGATGAAGATGACGATGACATCGTCATCGTCGTCGCCATCGTCATCATCACAGCCTCCTGCATACCTGCTGAGGATGTTTCCTCTCCTCCTCCTCCTCCTCCTCCTCCTCCTCCTCCTCCTCCTCCTATTTCTCCTCCTATTTCTCCTCCTCCTCCTCCTCCTCCCACCTCCTCCTCCTCCTCCTCCTCCTCCTGTCCTCCTCCTCGGACCTGGAGGGTCCCGGCGCCGCGTCGCCCCTGACCACACCCGGGCCCTCGGCGCGAGCCGCCATGGCCCGCGGCCGGCGGCCAGCCGCCGGGACGGCGCAGGGGGCTCGAGGAGAGAACGAGGGCCGGCTGCATTTAAGAATGACTCTGGGGCACAACTCTTCGGTCTGGCCATCGCTCGGACGTCCATTCCCTGAGCTTTTTTCGGTTTCGTGCGTGGATTTGTTCGCCAAATGATCAAGGATACTCCTCGATGGTCCTCGCCGAAGGAAACGTGCACACGTCCGAGCGATGCCAAGAGGAACGAGGGCCGGTTGCATGCAAGAATGACTCTGGGGCACAGCTCTTCGTCTGGGAAGTGGCGATGCCCACTCTGAAATCTGGCCCGAAGCTCAGGACGGGCTGTCAAAGAGAGTCGGCGAATCCGAGTTCCGTCGCTCTCGAAATCTCACGTTTCCCCAAAGAGAGAAGAACAATCCATCTGCATCAGCATTAACCTTCGGAAATCTGCGCGGGCCTCCTGGGTCGGCGCTGGACCCCCCCCCACCACTGAAGGGGCCCTGGGACACACAAATAAATACACGCAAATAACAGGATCCCCCATATTTTCCCACAGTTTCTGGGTTTTTGTCTTCCCCCCCACTTCCCATTTTTTCCCACATTTTCCTGGGAGTCGACGATTAATTGTGTCTGTGTGTTTCTTTCCCTCCTGAACCACGGCACGCGAAGCGCGCCGAGGGCGGCACCGGTGGCGCCGCCGGGAGGGTCCAGCGCCGCCGGGCCACCGGACCAGCACGCGCGGGCCTCCGATGGTCTGTGCTTCCGCAGGTTTGTCGCATCGAGGGTCCAACCATCGACCTCGCCAAGCATCTACTTTCCCGAGTCTGGGGGGCGGGGAGGGGGCTCGGACTTCGCCACGTGCTCTGCACATCCCGGACCCTGCCCCCGCCGCCCAGCGAGTTGCTCGAAGCGTTGATCGGCGAGGCCGGGGCACGTGGAGGCCTGGCGTGGCCTCCGCCGTCTGCTCCATGCGTCTTGGGGGGAGGAGGAGGAGGAGGAGGAGGAGGAGGAGGAGGAGGAGAGGGAGGAGGAGGAGGAGGAGGAGGAGGAGGAGGAGGAGGAGGAGGAGGAGCCAGGAGGAGGCGGAGGAGGAGGAGGAGGAGGAGGAGGAGGAGGAGGAGGAGGAGGAGAAGGACAGGAGGAGGAGGAGGAGGCCTCTGGCCGCGCGGCCTGCCGATCTGCACACCGCGGTGCGGCAGCGCTGGCCTGCGTGCTCGGGCTCGCTCCCGCGAGCGCCGCGAGCCAAGGGCCTCTCCAACGAAGTGCCGTGCTTGCGAACGGCCGCGGGGATGGGGCGATGGAGCAACGCCTGCGACGACGCCGGCGATGTCACTTCGGAGGTTTTTCTGCAGGGCGTCCTGGCTCGCCATCGCTCGGAAGTCCATTCCCTGTTTTTTTTTTTCGGTTTCGCGCGTGTTTTCTTCGCCAAATGATCAAGGATGCTCCTCGATGGTCCTCGCCGAAGGAAAGTGCACACGTCCGAGCGATGTCAAGCTGGGGGCTCTCGCCACAGCTGGGCGCTGCGACGTGGGCCTGGCCAGACTGGGCCCCAGGAGAGGTCTGAGGTCGGGTCTTGAACGGGTGAGGGGCTCAGGGGCGGCGGGAGGAGGGGAGCGGACGGGAGGACGGGGGGTAGGGCATGGGATTGAAGGGGGAAGTGAGGAGGGGACGGGGAGGAGGGAGGGAGAGGAGGGAGTGGAGAGAGGGAGGGGAGGAGAGGAGAGGGGAGGAGAGGGGGAGGGAAGGAAGAAGAGAGGAGGGAGGGAGGGAAGGGATGGGGAGGAGAGAGGAAGGAGGGAGGCAGAGGAGCGGAGGGAGGGAAAGGGGGAGGGTCGATCGCCCTTGGGAGGGAGGAGGGGGGCGAGGGCAAAAAGACTGGCGTGAGGGAGGGAAGGAGGGAGCAGATGAACAACAAACAGCATAACCATGCACTTTTGGAGGTCCGCGCGGATTTCCTGGATCCGCGCTGGCCCCCCTCTCAAGCGCGCGTAGCGCGCCAGGTGCGGCGCCAGAGGCGCCGCCAGGGGGTCCCAGCGCAGATCCAAGAACTCCGCGCGGACCCCTAAAAGTGTGTTTTATGCAGCGTTTTTGACTACGTGCCAGACCACCCCAACCCAACCCGACGACCCGAATTTGACCCGAATTTTGGGTTGGGGGGGGTACAGGTTCCATGTGTTTTCTCAGTGTTCCCCGACCCCCCCCCCAGAAATGGAGGGCAAGTTGAAGCCTTCCGGTTGGGTCGGGGTGGTTTGGTGGGTGGTGACTTTCTGGTTTTCGAGGGAAGGAAAGAGGGGGAGGAGGAGGAGGAGGAGGAGGAGGAGGAGGAGGAGGAGGAGGAGGAGGAGGAGGAGGAGGAGGAGGAGGAGGAGGCTCACTGGGGCGTCGTCGGGGCCCCCTCGGGCCACAGAGAGCAGACAGCGCCGGATGGCTGGCTGGCCGAGCCCCCGCAGTGGCGCCGCCGGCGCCAGCGGCAGCGGAGGGTGCGACTGCCTCGCGTCGTGGGGACGTGCGCGCAGGCCTCTGACACCGCGAGCATCGCTCAGCCTTGAACGATCGCGGTCCCCCGATAACGCAGATCGCTCGACCTCGGCGCAGCTGCAGTCCAGAAGTGCAGGAATCGACACACGCGTCACCGCGAACTGCTTGCACCGGCTCTGGGGGGCTGCCCTCCCTGGCGTGCAGATGCGTGCCAGGGGCGGCACTGGAGGCGCCGCCAGAGGGGGCCCAGCGCTGAACCAAGGAATCCGCGAGGATCTCCGAGCAAGTATGCCCGTGCTGCTTTTTCTTTTTCAGTACCCTGAGGTCCGAGGTTGCAACCGCCGACCAGCCACAACTGGGGGGGCTGTGGTCCTTACCACCCTAGGGGAACCCATCGCATCGACGATCTCTCGAGAGGGGTGTCGAAATCGATGAGAGAGCGTGATCCACCGCCGCTTTACTATGGAAAATTGCCAACCTTTTCCTCCGGAGCCCGGGGGTCTCCCCCCCCCTCCCCTCCGAAAATCCCCCCCCCCCCTGCTGGAACCCCTCCCCACTCCCCCCCCCCCCCCCCCCCCCCCCTCTCTCCCCCGCAAAACCACCTCCCCCCCCTAACCCCATCCCCCCCCCCCCCTCCCCTTCGAAAACGGGGGGGTCACTACCAGTTCGAAACCCCTCCCTCCCCCCCCCCCCCTCCGATTCCGAAAGCTGCGACGGGTCCACTAACACCGGTTCGAACCCCACCTCCCCCCCCCCCCCTCCCCCCCCCCGCCCCCCCCTCTCCCCCCCCACCCCACGCACCGCCAGCAAACGACTCCCGGTCCCTACCACCGCTCGCATCACATCCCCCACTGTTGTTCCCAGCACCAGTGTCCTCACCACCACTGTCCCCACTGGTTCCACCACCGTCCCTATTGTCCCACCAGTGCCCCCACCACTGTCGCACTGTCCCCACTGTTCCCACCACTGTTCCCACCACGGTTCCACTCTCCCCACTGTCTCCACGGACCCAACCACTGCCTATCCCCACTGTCCCCACCGTCCCACTGACTCCTCCGCTGTCCCACTGAGCTGTCCCACTGTTCCCACCACTGTCCCCACTGTCCCCACCACTGTCCCCACTGTACCTCTGTCCCATTGTCCCACCGCCGTCCTCGCCACCACCTTTACCAGTGTCCCCACCACCATTGTACCCTCCACTGTCCCAGTGTTTCCACCTCTTTCCCACTGTCCCCACACCACTGTCCCCACCACCACCGTTCCCACCAGTGTCCACTGTCCCCCCTGTTCCCACCATTGTCCCCACCACTGTCCCCACCACTACCGTCCCCACCACTGTCCCACTGTCCCCCCACCGTCCCCACCACTGTCCCGCTGTCCCCTCACCACTGTCCCCACCAACACCGTCCCCACCACTGTCCGCACCCCCACTCGGTTTTCGAGGGGGGGGAGGGGGGGGGGTTTCGAACCGGTAGTGACCCCCACCCCCTTTTCATGATGAGCTGGGGGGGGGGGGGAGGGAGGGTTCGAACCGGTAGTGACCCCCCCCCGGTTTTTCGGAGGGGGGGGGGGGGGGGGGGGGGGGGGGGGGGAGGGGTTCGAACCGGTAGTGACCCCCCCCGGTTTTCCGCCAGCAGCGGTAGAACACGCTCTTTCAAATCGATGGGTCCCCCAGGGGGGTAAGGACCACAGTTCCCCCAGTTGTGGCTCCCCTGAACAGCGCCAAAATCACGTCCAGAACCCTGGACCCCATCTTCCTGCACCAATTCTCGCTCTGTGAGGGCCCAGGGGCTCAGAGCGGGCGAGGGGTGCTCTGGAGGCCGCGGGGGCCTCCCAGGAAATCCTGGTGACACCTCCTTTGAGATCAGGCGCTGCGCAAACATGTCAACATCGCGAAAAAAATAAAGGGTCTCATGGCCCAGATCTGGGCGAAAACGCCTGTCGCGCGCGCAAACACTGCACCTCTTCCGTTGCTCAGAGAGCAGTCCTCACTGACCGGCCATATCCTGATGCCGGCCGCGGCGCAATAGATGACCGCGGATGCGCTCGCTCGTGCTTGTCGGCGGCGAGCGGGGGAGGACATAAGAAGGGGCGGGCCTTCTCAGAAGGCTCGGAAGTCCCCCGGCCTTCTGAGAAGTTGTCCAAGCCTCCCCCGAAGACAAGACAACAAACCCTCAGAGGCGCGAGGGCTTCCGAGTAGCCCCGCCGCCTTCCGAGAAGGCATCCTCCTCCTCACCTCCCCCCCCTCGCTCGCCGCCGAGCTTTGCTCCCGCTCGCTTGTCCAGCTGCGCAACTCCCCTCCAAGGTGTCTGCGCTGCAGGCGGCGGCGTTCGGCCCCGCACGCCCGCGCCCCCTCGCCGCCCGCGGCGGCGGCACGGCGCCCGAGCCTGCCGCAGAGGAGGCCGCTCGGCCGTCGACGGGCGTCGGGCCGCCACGGCGTGCTTGCGGTGGTTGTCGTCGCCCGCGTCGGCACAAGCGGGAGGACGCGGAAGACATCGTCGACGGCACCGGGAGAACTAGGCAGGAC